ATATCACAACTGCTTTAATATTACAAAATACAATCACCTACTGTTATATAATTATAAACTAACGAAGGGATCAGAGGATGTCCCCTGTAAAGACTATTATATCAACAAGGATTATTATAATCCTTTTGCGGTTATATTCCTCTTTGTAAGAATACCCGGTATCAAGGGAGAGAAACACATTGGACGTGATATCTTTGGTCAATTTTAATTAAAATGGTTTGGTGATAGATAAAGACATATAACCTTCAGTATTTATAGATGTAAAGAGTTTACTAGTACGTGTGTGATGCCAGTTAATGTTTAACTTAAACTAGAATTATGCCCACAAAATTGGATCTTTTTTATTGACAATAGTAATAAGCGTTTGTCTTATACCTCACCTTCAACCAAATAACAATATACTTATATAAAAATATATTGGTTCTACTCTTGGACGTTTCAGGTATTTGCATGAAAAATTAATGCGTTATGCGATTTCATTAGTTCATTCCAGACTTTGACGACTCGAACCAAAAATAAACTGGTAAAGCATTTAGTTCGACTTGTTGGTGAGTGAACAATAACAGGCTGGAATATCTATCTGTCTGGATGAAAGAGAATAATCACTCAAAGAAAACTGAGTGAATCCAATAAAAACGAGAAGTAGGCGACTTTACAACGATACTCAATAGTGTGTTTTCCCTGTTCGTAAAGTTGCCTGCGGGCTCATCGGTCAACAGAGACCAAAGCTTAAGAACATTTTAACAGAGCTATCCAAAAGGTGCTTAAAGTACTTTAAGCAAGATTAAACCTGGACTAGATTAACTATGATTAACTTAATTATTAAATAGATAAGGTTAAGCAGTTAATCTTATCTAAACTATGTCGTGGCGGATGAATAATATCCGTGTGGTGACGGATTAAGAATACAGAGTGTCACCACCCCTATTCATCGAGTGGGTGTCGTAAGAGTCGACTAATGAAACAAATAAAAATTATACAAATAAATAAGGGCAGTATGCTAGGTAGTGCTGTTGTCCCTTATTTATTGCAAAAAGAAGAAAAACTGTACTGCAAGGAGACGGAAAACTTGACAAAAACCAACCCGTCTGGCCAGCGTGGTATCGTAGGCCAAAACCCCCTTTCTAAGGATAGGCCTATGTCCAGCAATGGACTGTCAAAGGCTGTTGATATGATGTGATGCAAAAGCAATTATGTTTTTTTCTGTGTTTTGTGGGTACCCAAACATTAGTATCATATCTATTAATAAAATAATAAATAAAACAAAAAAGACAATTACTTTACATCATGTAAACCACTCTTTTTCCTTTTTTATATATAGATACTATTACTTGAATATTTTTATGATAACTCAATTTGATTTAGTTGGAGTACGTTTATTTATTTATGTTTTATATATTATTTTTAATTTCTATAGTAATTACTATAGAGATTATCGTTAAAAGGTCGCAGAAGAAACGGACTACCCGATGTTTTATTTCAAGCCATATACGAGTACTTGTCATATAAAGTGCAATGTTATTCAAAATACCCTATGTAATATGGTATCGTGTCGCATGTGATTGCAATTTAAATTGGTCGGTTACATACATCGCAACGCAGGTCCCATCGATTTGTAATTTGTCCTATAAATGAATTTCGACCCTTTGACACTCGAGAAGGTAGACGAGACTGACGACCACAGATAATAAAACATCATTTGTCGTACCAAATACGAATTGATAGCGTGAAATAGACATTCTACATGCTTGGCACCAGTCAGATTTGACGTCAATACATGGCTGTATTTTCATTTATGTTCGAGTTACGATCGTAAACACAAACCGTATAAAAGTGTTTTTTATTAAAGTAAAGTAGTAGTAGTAAAGTATAAGAATATTTTCAATTGTGTCTTTTAGGTTGTTTTGAGGAAGGAGCTTCAAAGCAACATATTTTATCTTGGTAGAGGCTAAGACTTCATTTTTATAGAGATAGATAGATTTAGCATAAAAGTAGCTAATTACTTAAAACTAATCCGTGTAGTGACGGATTAAGAATACGGAATGTCACCACCCCTATTCATCCCATGGGTGTAGTAAGAGCCGACTAAGGGAGCAAACTACGCAGGACAACAGCACTGTAAAGAGAAGGAAAACGTAAAACAAACCCTATACCAACTCGCCTGGCTAGCGTTATATAGCAGGCCAAAACCTCCTTTCTAAGGAGAGGCCTATGTCCAGCAGTGGACTGTAATGATGATGAAAATTACTTACGATTCATACCTATTAGGTGATAACAGCTAAAAAAGGTTGTAGATTCATCCATCCATCTTTTATATTATATTATCGATTATAGGAATCAATTCACTCATATTTCTAAAAATTTGCGCAAAAATAAATAAAACGTTATTACCATTACTGACATTACATATCTTATGTCAGTCCAGTATATATTGCATTGATCCAAAACCATCCTCAAGATTTAAGATCTAAATAACTGTATCTCACACAGCGAATATTCCAGATGACATTTGAAATTTACCTGTGGCTAGTGTTAGGAGGCTAGTTGTGGCCCAATCATTGGGTTAATTGGTTGTTATTGTTGTGAATCGTTAACTATAAAATCACTACTGGTAAACCAGAACTTCACAGAGATAAAATAAATGTATTTCGGTCATTAAACTAAGATAAGCCAAAGTGTATAGCTTTTTTTATGGTGTAAGGCGCAAACCAGCGAACGGGAAGTGACGTCCTCCACCAATGGACATCTGCAACCCAAAAGTCACAAGTGCGTTGCTACTCTCACTGAAACTCAAAGTCTACCCCCCAGAAGAAAGGTGGGTCGAGCTTTAGGTAACCGCACTCACTCGGTAAACAGTAACGAAACATTTCTTAACACCGGTTTTCTCTGAACTCTATGGTCGTGGTATCAATCCGGTCAAGCCCCATCTGAGCCGAATCATAGCGCTCCAACGATAACTACTGATTCCGTGATTTCCGCAATATGTGGTCTCGCTTAACTTCTAAAGGGTGAGAATTTCAGTAAAAAAATCTATTTAGATCTTTGAGAGAAGTGACAAATATCGTATTCACACGTACATACACGTTTTCCTCATAAAGGATTAAACGAATTGAGACAATAAATTTATAGTTTTGGAAACGCGTTTTCGTTGTGATGTGATATAGGAGTTGTACTCGTATGCGTTTATAGGCACCAGGCATCACTTACCATCAAGTAGACAGTGTAGTTGTGGGCTAAAGATATCCACTATACTCTAACAACTCTAACAATTTGCAGTTCTGAATTGGCGCCATTATGTAGTGTATCATTGTATATGCATTACATTTTAATCTTTTCTTTTTCTCTTTAGGTATCATTAAGTACTCGCTGTATTTAAATTGTACTTTTGGTAAACGTTTTAAAATGTAAAACATTAACGGATTTGATATTTCCTTTTTTTAAACACTTCAACCGTCGAGATTTAAAGTAACACTGATAGAAATTGTTGCTGGCGTTATTGCATTTTAAGTCTTATGTACCTCAGTCACAAAATGAAATTATAGTTATTTCTTTATTTAGTTATTTTTATGTCATGGTAGTTTAAAGATTAAAACTATTTTATGAAAATAAAAAAACGAAAAATTAACCGATTATAAAAACTTTCACGGGCGGAGCCGGGGCAAAAGCCGGCACAAGATAAATATAGACGTAGGTTGGTTTAAACAGAACATGGTTGGTAGGCATTAGTATATGGCCTGTTGAAAATTTGCTCTATGACGAATAAATACGTAAGGTTAATAGCAATCTGAAATCGTTGGATATATTAAAATATATTGTTGCCACTGTTTACTTTTTTTTTTACTAAAATAAAAAGTAAAAAAAAAATATCCCGCTTGAATGACCATTGTTTGGGGTGCAATTGGAGGGTTTAAAAAGATGTAATTTAATAATACAAATACATTTATTATTATATAAACCAGTTAAAATGTTCACAAAACACTATGATACCAAACTATGTTAAATGTATTAAATGTTACTAAAGTTAATGGGAAATGTTAATATATGTTTAGGTGAATTTGTAACGTACATTATATGCGAGTGTTCAAAAATAAACTTTCAACACTACTAAATTTTATAAAAATAGCATTTGTCTTCTAGTGCATTTCGTGTTCGATGTCAGCAATACATCGAACAACTTGTTTTTATCAGCTAAGGTAAAATAAAATGAAGCAACTAGGAGTAAAGTACGGTATATACGAGTATATAAGTACAAAAGAAATAATTGCTGAAAATATGTTTTCATTTATAAATTGATTTGGAAAATACTTTTTTAGAATTTTGTAGTTTATTAAAAACACTATATTAATAATTTACAGTAATTAACTGACGAAATTTCTATTAAACTAGTGTTAGCATTACTGTCAATTACTCAACATTCCAACTTATTTATGAAATGACGCATAATAATTAGGCACTTTTGCTTTAAAAAAAAAGGTTGTTGGCAATAATGCGTCAATAACGCCACCTTGAAAGAGATTACAAAACTGCTGTAAACGAGCGGAGCGGCCTCTTTTACGTTAGAAACTTTGTACGGTAAAGAACTCTGAAGATTTAAGTTATCATTGTAAAATTACTTATATAACTGCTTTCAATTGTAAAATATCTATATTTATAACGTGACAAACCTAAGTTTAATACGATGTAACTAAGTATCAGTTAAGAAGATTTACTGGGATTAAAAGCAATTTAAGCAAGGACTATTGACTTCAGGGATTCTGACTCAGTTTAGTTGTATAGAAAATATATTAATATATATAAAACATAGTTCATACACATCTCATAATAGACCCGTTTTATACATATTTAACCAATATAAAGTTTTGTCTACAACTGGTTTTATATGCGTTACCTTTACTTATCACTTACGGAGTCAAAATAAGTTCAATATAAGAGTAGTATTTCGGTACAGAAGTAATCATTTCGGTTCAGTGTCTCGTAAATTCCAAACACTCTTGGTCAAAATGCGGTGGTAAGTTTATTTTTATTTTCCTTAAAAAAAATACTTTGCTCTTTATTTTATATGTTTACTTTAAATGAGGGAGATATAGCGAGTATCTATTACTTGTTACTTCTCTAAATGTTTTCTTATACTTCTTAATAAGTCGTAATTTTCATATCATTTACTCTTACTTAATATTAGACATTTATTACACATTGATATAACTAAAACATTTTTGTATACAATGTATCTGAAAAAATATGATCATAAATATAATACATATCATAAAATAATACTGATTATTGTTATTCTTTTCTAAATGCTACCTTTTCTTTATATTTGTATCAGTTAATTATAAGCGTATAAAGATTAATCAATAATGCTTCACCTATGAAAATGATTACTAAACGACTTACTGAGAGAACAATGCGCCTATAAACGGGATAATCCAATACTTCACCTTAGTTAAATTTACAACTCTTGTAATTTCTTTATCCCATCGTTATTTCCAACGCAATCGCATGATATTTATCAAAAACTGAAATTCTACAAAATGTATTAGGTATTCTCATCGGAAGCTGTTTCTTACTAGAATGTACTACTGAAAATCTAATATTATGAATGCGAAAGTAAGTCTGTCTGTCTGTTACGCTTTCACGGCTAAACCGCTGAACCGATTTTAATTAAATTCAACATGATGCTACTTTGGTTCTTAAGGAAGGACATAGGCTACTTTTTACCGCGATGACCCACATACATATGGGCGTAGCCGCGAGCATATGCTAGCTATATATTAAACCTATGATTCTGTACTTTAACTTTAGTCTATCAGTCTGTAATGTAAGCTTAAATAAATCAAGTAATACATACCTTTGCCTCGGCGGTGTAGTGGTAGCGTATGCGACTGCTGTGCTAAGGTCTCAGGTTGGATTTTCGGGTCGTATAAAATGTTTATGTGATCTGCAAATATTTGTTTCGGAGTTTGGGTGTTTTCTATGTATAATTATGTATGTATTTACAAAAAAAGTATAAAAGTATTCTTTCAGTCTATCTAACTTTCATAGTACAAACTCTGCTTAGTTAAAAACTAGTTGACGTTGTGTGTCAGATGTCCCATAATATTTATTTATTAATTTATATTATATTTATTTATTATGCTATTTATGTAGGGCAGATTTATGAATAATATTTTTGGTAAAGGAAATGAGTTTAGGTTAACTAAAGCTTTGGACACTATTTACCTCTTCTGTTTTGGGTAGGTCACTTCAGTTATTTTTATCAACAATACCTTGAATAGGTTAGGTTCTTTTTTACCACATTACATTAACACAACGCCATCTAGTTCCAAACTAAGCAGAGCTTGTACTATGGGGACTAGATAACTGATATAAATACATAGTTTTTTTTGTAAATACATACGAGTACATATTATACATAGAAACACCCAGACCAAATCAAACATTAAATGTTCATGCACACAAATGTTTGACTTCGACTGCGAATCGAACCCGCTACCTTTGGCGTAGCAATCCGTTACAGAAATCACTACGCCATCCGGCCGTCGTTTGATGAATTGCAGTTGTATTTTTAATGTGAATATGATAATGTAAATATTATTGTTTTATGAATAAAACAGTTACAGTACATCGTGTACAATACCAACCAGCGGCGGATTTCCTAACGTCTTTGCCTCTGCTGTGCAGTTTTTTGCAGCGAGTCAGTGCTTAATTCCGGAAGAAGCTTTGAAGAATTCTAAAGTTAAAAGTAGGTATTATTTATAATATTAAAACTGTGTTTATATATACATATACAATATCATGGTAGATTTGTAAAAGAATAAAAAATCAATATTGATGTTTTATCACTATGAGCTTAACCGGACCTATGTGTTCAGAATCATCCGAGGGCGCCTCGGTCAGAAACTCCGTGTACAAAGATTTGCAATCGCCCCTTTGACAAACCTTATCCGATCTCCTTTTCAGCCGTCAGTGTTGTTTATCAAAACTTTAATTTTTCATAAGCATTCTTTATATTTTTTCTTCCTCTTAATTTCCTCTTGGTCTCCTAGCCTTTTCTGGACTATTTTGTTTTTAATACCTCTAAAGCTTCCTCTTTTTAGACTCACACCCTTCCCATGGCTCCATCAACTTCATGTCATATGGGTCGTACATACAATACGTACCTCAATGAAATATATAACCTCCAAGTAAGAATCCTGAAAAATACAGTTCCCAAAAATATTCGAAATCAGTACAACGATGACCACAGTTTCAGGTCACACAGTCACAGGTCTTTTCAAACACTGCAAGACATTACCGGTTCAAACACAAGTAACATATGCATTATAAAAAAATACAATTTTTGCACGGAAATTAAAAAAGAAATTGAACACACTGTATACACGCGTGCGGTCACATGAAACCAGTTATGCACAAAGCGCGCTAACAGTATGGCGCAATAACGGCAGCCTACCTCCTTCCTCGTTTGATCAAAAAACTACCCACTGACTTACGTGCTAACCTCAACATGAATTATATTCAAAATAAACTCAGGTCTTATTTTCTAACACAACCACAGGTAAACAGACAAATGTATTTGTCTACTCGTCTTTTGTTGTATCACTTAAACTGCTATCTGCAAATGCACTAACAGTACTTATTATAAACCTTAATAGTTTTACAGTACCAAAAACCAAAAATGTTATTTACGTACATCGTTTAAGTGTTAAATAAAAATAAACAAAATAATCATAAGACGGCTGCGGGATGGCACGTAGGCGTCATTACACACGCAGGCGCTTCTTGATCTCTCAATTTTTTTTCCTGTTCTAATTCTTATGCATTCTCCCCATTATGGGGCTGCATAGCGTCCGGTTTAGTCTAGTCTACCCCTGATCTTAAACTATTTATGCGCTAAGTTTCTCAACCGCCGGCAATTCACCTTAGAGGATATCAGATCGGCGTAGTACACCATACCGGGGTTTGCGGTCGGGTGGTGTGTCGGCATCGGATTGATTAAACCCACACGGTGTGCCACTCTACGTCTGTAATAGGAGGGCTCCGAGAACTGCTATTATTTAGACATCCGATACTTGCGGACACATCCAGACATTGCCTCTCGCCGCTCTGTACGCCAGTTCCAATGGGTCCATATTTCTAGATTCCGCCAGCGCCCGAAAGAAATCCTCTCTAAATCTCCTACGTCTATCATGATATTAATTCCTAGCCAACTCTTCCAGATAACCATTTTGCTTCTTTTGCCCCTGCCACTCTCTCCTCGCTCCGTAGTTCCTCTTTCGCAGTGCCTCCGAAGCTAGAGATCACAATTCACATCCTCTTATAGTCTTGCCTTCCTTACGCGCTCCCAGGCATTCCTCAGCCGCACCCACCACCATGGCGGTGAATCGCTGCGGGACGACGTCCGCTGGTTTCCTCCTCCAGCAGTAAGCGGTAGTCTTCCTCTACGCTACTCATTGTCTCGATGTCATCGATGGGATACCTACACTTCTACGCCCGCACCTTTACGTTCAGACGTCGGCAGAATACACGAACGAGTGTATCGTCGATGAAACCCAAAACTGTGGTGGCACACACCCAAGATAGTGCTCACCGCAGCAGCACAGGCGCCACTCGCGGCGGTCACACGAAAACACAGGCACACACGTCACTAAAAAAAGAGTTTAAAAAAACTAAAAAACACGCTTTTATGGAAAACCAAGGGGGCTTTTTACTATTGACAACAGGCACCAAACGCTTTTTTTCAAATTTATTAAAAAAAATATCTATTTTTTAGTTTGGTTTTCTATAAAAGCGTGTTTTTTAGTTTTTGAAACTATTTTTTTTTATATTTTTTTTAAAGAATGTTCTAGGCAGTCCAGTAGCGACTCGTCCCCCATAGTAGTCCATCCGGAATATTAGGTGCTAGCAAAAGTACCAAGTGCAGTATTCATAATACTTTCCACTACGAATTAGATTTAAAACATATTCCTAATGATGACTTTTTTTTTTATTTTTAGTTTCTGCGTTACACAGACGGACACATTTTTACAACGTTTTTGCAGTAGCAAAGTACGTGTTGACTGACTTAAATTTTTTTTTTCAGACAAAGCATATTTTGATTTTATAATAGTAGGAGCGGGGTCGGCAGGAAGTGTTTTGGCAAATAGATTGAGTGAAATAAAGGAATGGAATATTTTACTTTTGGAAGCTGGAGGTGATCCGCCTATTGAAGCCAGTGTAAGATTTTTTTTCAACCTATACGGGGACGTACCTTCAAAACATACCTGCCTACTTACTGAATAGACTGAACGCAAAATTTGGGTCAACCTTTTTTTTACGTAAGGAATATTTTCGCATCATACCCTCCGTTGGCGATACGGCGGGCATGAGGGTGACTCCCTGAGAACCGGTCTACCCACTAAACCCCGCGACGGCCTACCTGGGCAGTCGAGAGTAGTAGTCGGTAGTTTCTGGAGTCCTCCCTGCCGTAACCCATGACTACGGCACATCCCAGGGTGTCCGTAGTCACTCTCCTTAGAAGTTTAATCGTTCTTCGTACGTAGTATGAAGCGAAATGTTGTTACAGAGTTTACATGTATTACCCTATATAATCCAAAAATATTTTTTTGCGAAATAAAGTCTTGCTATTTACTGTGTATTATGTATCCGTGTGGTGATGGATTAAGAATACAGAGTGTCACCACCCCTATTCCACCCCGTGGATGGCGTAAGAGCTGACTAAGGGAGTAAACTACGCAGGACAACAGCACTGCAAAGAGAAGGAAAACTTGAAACAAATCCTATACCAACCCGTCTGGCCAGCGTGGTATAGTAGGCCAAACTTTCTTTTTAAAGAGAGGGCCTATGTACAGCAGTGGACCAGTAAAGGCTGTTGATGGTGATGATGATGTAATATGTACATGATAGCAAAATATTATAAAATAAAGACATGCTTGCTTGAACCCGACTGAAGCTCCGGTCCAATTGTGAATTTAGATCACACAAGGCCTTTTTCAAACACTCAAAAAACTTACTTAACTTAGTACTGATCAACCGATTTTGTAGTGCTGTAATAAAATAAGATAGTCGAATAAGAATAATGTCCTGAAATATACTGCTGCGTGGTAGTCTTAAAATGTATTGTGCTATTATACCATACTAAGCAATCCATAATAAGTCTAAATAAGCAAGAGCTTTCAGACTTAAAATTAATGCTTACATATTTCGCAGGTTCCAGAATTATATAGAGATCTAGGTCTTTCAAAATACGATTGGCAATATTTAACTACAAATGATGGAGTTATAGATCAAAGTGTTATAAACGGCTCAATAAATTGGCCAAGAGGAAAAATGATCGGGGGATCTAGTAACATGAACGGTATGGTTTATGTAGAAGGTAATGACCAAGACTATCAAAATTGGTATAATGCTGGAAATTTCGAATGGAGTGTACGAGATGTTCGACGGTGCTTTAGAAAAAGTCAAAGCTACCAAAACCAGCGTCTGTTACAAGATCAAGCCATTTCCAAACATTACGGTCGTAATGGTCCACTTGCTCTTAATATTTTTAATGCGACATATAGACCAGTTACTGAAAAAATTCTGAGATCATGGGATGATATTGGTATCAAGAATGTACCTGACGTAAATGCTGCCAACGCCATGGGCTCAAGCGTAGTAACAGCTACTGCTGCCAATGGGGTGCGACAAAGCGCAAGTAGGGCATATTTACATCCTGTGCAAAATAGAAAAAACTTGAAAATTTTGAAAAATAGTTTTGTGACGAAAGTCTTGATAAAAAGCTCATCTAAAGTTGCTTACGGTGTCAAAGTAAAACGTGGATCAAAAATGTACAAGTATTATGCCACCAAAGAAGTCATAATAAGTGCCGGAAGCATAAATTCACCTCAACTAATGATGTTGTCAGGAGTTGGCAACCGTGATCAGTTGGCCTCAAAGAAAATTAAGCAGGTAGTTCACTCACCAAGGGTAGGACAAAACCTACAGGATCACTTAATTATACTTATTCCGATTTGCAACAATGAATCCAATCCAGAATCTCTTAAGGACCAGAATCTTGGCGTCATAAAATATCTCTATAACCGTACGGGACACTTAGCACAAAATTCGGATTCAGATATCGTAGCATTTTATTCTACAGCTAGTAATGCTACTTATTCAGATTATCAAAGTCACCTTTTACTTGCTTGGAAAAACCAATCTGACTTCAAAGACATATTGACGAAGCTTTATAGACTTAAAGACCGTGTGGCAAAACCACTAGTAGAACTAAATAAGAATTATTCGATGTTCCTTTTTTGGTTTATTTTACTACGTCCAACAACGAGAGGAAATATAATTTTACGTTCCAAAAACCCTGAGGATCATCCGTATATTTACCCGAATTATTTAAAAAACCGCTTTGATTTAGAATCAACAGTGAATGGTATTCAGAAGTTGACTAGTGTATTGCAAACTAAGTACTTCAAATCGATTGGTGCATTTTTAGCCAGAATGAACGTGCCAGAATGTAATAAATATGTCTTAGACAGCAAAGACTATTGGCGATGTATTTCTTTAAATACGGTTCAAACTGTATACCATCCAGTCGGAACTTGTGCCATGGGAAGTAATATAAGAGTTTCAGTAGTGGATAGCAGGCTAAGAGTACATGGTGTTGGAAATCTCCGAGTTATTGATGCAAGTATAATGCCTACTATTGTAGGTGCTAACACAAATGGACCAGCAATGATGATCGGTGAAAGAGGTGCAGAGTTATTAAAGGAAGACTACAAAAAGTAAATCTGACTAAATAACTAAAATATGAAATGTTGTAAAATAATTTAATTGGAGGTGGTAAATAAAAACTTTAAAGAAATAAATCCTTTTAAAAAACCGGTCAAGTACGAGTCGAACTCCTGCGCCGAGGGTTCCGTACCTACCCAGATTTTACGTAGACTTTCGAGAAAATTTGTAAGTAGTACCAAAGTTTATGTTAATTTTCAACTTTTTTTTTATTTTTTGGCATTATTCCTTTATTTGTGCTGTAAAACGTTTCTTTATGCCAAATTTCGTGATTCTAGGTCAACGGGAACTAAGATATAGATTTTCGACCCAAAACCAATAGGGTACTTCCGGCTGACCTAGAATTGTCAATTTTGGTTAAAAGCAAGGTCTTACAGCATTAGTACAGAGAAAATTCTGAAAAAAAAAGTAGGTAAATTTTGGTACTTACAAGTTTTCGCAAAAATCGTAGTTCCTCAAGACCATGATTTTTATGCACCTAATAGGGACCATAGACCTCAGTATCTGGTACAAATTTCAACTTGCTGGATCTACCCGTTCCTCAGAAAATCGGTGGTGACACACGGACAGATGGACAAGAAAGTGATCTTATAAGGGTTCCTTTTTTACCTTTTTAGGTTCGGAACCCTAAAAAGTAGAACCGACTTCAAACAGTACTAACAAAGAGCACTAAAAATAATTACAAATCTAAATGAAAAAAAACAAAATAAGTGCGACCCTCAATATAACGTGTAACATTGTAATAGCAATCAATTATAATAGGAAGTGGTGCCAAGCGCAAGAAGTTCTTGTGAGAGTCTTCATGCTGCACAAAACATGTTAAACGAGCCTAAATATATAATAAAAAAAGCCAAATGATTTTATTTTGAATGCATTATTAGATAAATTTTGCGTAGGTAATTGGTCAGCTTGGTCTTTATTAAGTAACAAAATCTGCGACGTTTCATTAGGATTACATTGCATTCTTAATTCTTTATTGGGCTAATATAGACCCTCAGCTTTAGTTGTGTGTATCGAGCTTGTCACTGACTTCAATCACACTAGAAGGTATCTATGTTTTGCTATAATAACGTTACCCGTTATAGCTTTTTTTTTAAGGATTTATTTAAACATTTTTTGTCCGAAATACGTTTGTAATGAGTAGATATGATATTTAAAACACCACGTACTGTAATGTTTATATTACCAAATTGTAGTATGTTAAATTATATTAAATTTAAAATCATTAGGAGAGGCATATTTTTCTTGTAACTACACTAGATATATAAAACATATACGGATACAAGGTACATCACAATTTACAAAATTATAAATAAATAAGCCTTTTATTATTTCTCATTTCATGTAGTTTTACAATACTTATTTACATGCAATAACAGTAACTCATCACATATATTAATTAAACTAATCATCAAATTTACAAAAAAAAATATTCGGTTTATTTTGATTTTCATGATTCTCTTGTTATGTTATAGCTTTGTAGTATTGATTATGATATTGATGAAACTGTAATATTTTTATTATATATAGAATGATTAATTAATTATTTTTTATTTACTTAAATATGAACCCCTCTGTAGGGTAAAGGCCTCCTCCATTTTTGACCATTCTTTTCTGTCTTCCGCCTTTGATTTAGATTTATCTCCTGCTATATCTTTGATCTGTCCAGAACGAGCTTGTTCTATAGGTTGAAGATTTTCGATCTTGGTAGTGATTCTGCTTAGCAGAATGGAGGTAAACAGTTTATAAACTAGGAAGAAGGCTGATTGGCCGATACTTACCGATATCTTGAGGATCACCTTTTTTGTACAACAAGATTATATCAGATTTTTTCCATTGTTCAGGTTCTTGTCCAGTTGTAATAACCTTGTTAAATAGGTGGGAGAGTGGATGTGCTAGCAGAGTAATTCCAAGTTTTAAAGCCTCATTTGGTACACAGCCTGGTCCTGGACTTTTTTCTGATTTAAGTTGCTTAATCCGGACAGGTTTCTCAATAATAGATAATATTCATGTAATGCAATAAACAATGGAAAAATACAACGAATTCAACAGACCGTTATATTTAGCCTTCGTCGAATACGCCAAAGCATTTGATACAATATCACATTATGCAATATCGGAGGCACTAAACAAATGCCGCATCCATGTTAAGTATTATAACATCCTGAAAATGTATATGACAATAGCACCAGCCGTGTGAAACTAGAGAAACGAGGGCCAGAAATACCGATTCTACGCGGAGTAAGACAAGGAGATCCTCTATCCCCCAAGATTTTTATAGCAGTTCTGCAAAACATCTTCGAGGGCCTGCAATGGGAAAATGAAGGTATTAAAATCGGCAACCGACACCTAAGTCACCTCAGGTTCGCAGATGACACAGTCCTCTTCACTGAAACCAGCAGAAACCTGAAAAAAAATATAAACCAACAAAGTGCAAAAGTAGGTAATGACTATACTATCACTAAAACTAATGACAAACAGCTACTCGAATACAATAAAACTCGAAGGAGACTGACAATAAAGCTGGAATACGTAAATAAATACATATATCTAGGCAAAGAAATATCTTTCCAAGAAAGAAACGTAGAAGTCGATATAGAAAGCCGAATAAATATGAGCTGGAAAAAATACTAGTCCCTTAAAGAAATTATGAAAGGTGACTATCCGCTCCACCTTAAAAAAATTGTGATGGATACATGCGTTCTGCCGACTCTCACGTATGAATGCCAGACCAGAACCTACAACGCTAATACAAAAACAAAATGAGTGAGTTGTCAGAAAGCGATGGAAAGGAGCCTTTTAAAAATAAGGAAAATACAAAAAATAAAAAGCGAATCCAACCGAAAGAAGACAAACCTAACAGACGTCCTGTACTACTGTCTATGTTTAAAGTGCCGATGGGCTGGCCAAGTTGCACGTTACAATGATAAGCGATGGACAGCAGAAGTAAGGAGATGGAAAGGGCCAAACGGAAAAAGGCGGAGTGGAAGACCTATGAAGCGATGGAGCGACAATATCATATCTACAGCCGGCAAGGAGTGGATTAAGCAAGAGAAAGACAGAGAAAACGGGATTAAACTGGAGGAGGCCTATACCCAAACAGGGGTTCCTATCTAACCGCAAATGCAGTAAATAATACGAAACAATAGTTAAGTGAATAGTCATAAGTGAAATTATATATACTTACATGTAATACTCAAGTGATGGGAAATAAAAAGGCTTTATTATTATTATTATATCTTTGATGTCTTCGTTGCACCTTCTATACGGCGTGTCTTTTTTTCTTTTTCCTTTTGGTCCTTTCCATAAGGCTAACTATTACGTATAGACGTTTTTTAACCTATAACAAAACGAAAGGGTATGAAACTTTATAAAAGCTATAAGATTAGTAAAATCACATATTTACAAATGTTTAATTTGTGCGAGATATAACGCCACACCCAGAACCCAATTGAGGTGGGACTTACCTAAAGAAAGAGTTACGCCGTCTCGACCGTTCCTACATAGTGGTGTAGACACTGCCGGACCTATTAATGTACTCGCATATAAAGGAAGAGGTGCGAAGGTTACAAAAGCGTATATCGCTATATTCGTCTGCTTATCTACCAAAGCAGTCCATCTCGAACTAGTAGTCGACCTGACCTCTGAGGCCTTTATTGGTGCTCGATTTCTTTCTAGGCGAGGAAAATTTCGTAATCGTAATTTCGTAGAAGCAAACAAGGAATTAACTACTGCCTGGCAAGAAGCTAATCTCCAATTCAACAGACTGGCGGAGTCCCTTGCATTAGAAGGTACCCAATGACATTTTATTTTACTTTTGGCGTAGATGGCAGAATGAGTACTTGACTAGATTGCAGCAGAGGCCGAAGTGGCTGATAACAACTAAAGATTTCCAGATAGTTGACATCGTCTTAATCAAGACAGATGGATTACCACCTGGCAAGTGATGCCTTGGACGAATTGTTTACCAGCAACCAGGAGCAGACAATCTAACAAGAGTTTACAGTGTCAAGAGTAGCGAAACTATTACCAAAATATCTGTAGCTAAATTATGTGCGATGCCGATTGATGCAAAGAATCTTCATCTGCAAGTGTCTTGATATTTTGTTGAAATTTATTGCCATTTAGAAATAGTCTTTATACCTACATGATTATAGTTAAATTTATTTGTTGTAAAAAGGTCTAGCCCTTTTTGGTGGGCGGTATGTTATAAATAGAACTACCCTTGCATTTGAATGTTAGTCGCAATACAAGTTCTGTGGAGAGAAGTCGTCGTTTCATTTACTACAAATCCTACAAGCTATATTCAACCTTAAACACATCAACAGCAACTATTTAGTTTATTTATCTCAGTTTTAATTAAAAAAATATGAATAATCCTGGTTGGTTGTATATAGTTTGTAATTCTGGTCTATAATTCTTTATATGAAATAAACAATTTTATAAAAAAAAAAACGACTTCACAAAACATCAAACAACACACTAAAAAGCGAAAAATAAACTGAATTATTTATTTATTCAAAATTGTTTTTTTTAATTGATTATTTTTCTATTTTTAGTTAAATAAAGTAAGTTGAACTACTTCGAGAGTTAGCAGCCTACGGATTACGTTAATCGGATAACCTTCAAATGTTATTCCTGCTGATGCGAATAACTGTGGTGGTTTTATGCACGTATTGAAACTGGTCATAAGCTTCAGAGTCATGTTGAAACGCAACATTTCTGTTACTAAGGGCCTGGTCTGGTCAACAGTAAACATTGGGATCTTGGACTAATTTAAATGGCCTGTCCTTCGCCGTGATCAAATAGAGTTAGGCGAGTTAGCCTATTCAGTTTCTGTAAAAGTACTAGGTATACCCTGCCATACTTAGCTGTGGCCCATTGTGGTTGCAAAAAGTAGATAAAAATCATCTTAAAAGATTGTTGTATATCTTGACAAAGTTAGAGCTCAATCGGAACAGAAACATTAACATCCTTAATTACTTATATATTATTTA